AAACTGTGCTGTATCCGTAATATTCAAGAGATAAAAGTAGTACTAGCACACAAGTCCTAATCTTTATTGCAACAAACTCTACAAAAGCTGAAAAGTCAGTTAAAATAGAATGCTAATAATATGTTAACCTTTCATAGCTATCCAAGCAAAACCCAAACAACTATGTTTATGTGACAATATTAGAAGATGAATATAACCATAACATGTACCCTGAAGCACTTCAATAAGGCTTTTATAAAAGAAATACAGAAAGATGTTAAATTTTATGTGAGTTAGTATCATTTTGGCGAATGTTAATCAGGAAGGTTTTTAAACAAAAATATCTCTCTCATCCTATTTTCTCCAAGAATCTATATAAAGAGATTAGAAAATATAAACCATCAGTACAAGCTAATGAAGGTGATGCATCAAGACTCTATGAGGAATTATTGGCCAAGCAACAGCAAGATCCCAGGAAGTTTGTGGAAGTTACATAGGAGGTAGGAACAAATACACTAATGGGCTGTTTTGGATGAGCCCAAACCAGGTTATATCATGGTGTAAATTTGGTCAATCGGTTGGGCACAACAATACAGCAGAAACAAACTGTTACCGTATGCTATTATCATTTTTTGTAGTGCGTGATGACGATATGAGATCTCAAATTGTTGTACAGACCCTTTTGAGTGACGAAACTACTGAATCATATTAGTGGGTATTGCATATGACAAAGAAGGCAACAAGAGGACAAATATCTGGTGTAATAATTACTGATACCGACCCTGCTATGGAACATGCTATTATGATCAAATACCCAACTAGTTGTCATCTTTTTTGCATATAGCATCTCAAAAAAATCTTAAAAAATTGCTTTGCAGCAAATTAAATACACAATTTGATGCATTTTATTCTGACTTCTGGAAGTGTCGTAATAGCAACATATCTGAAATTTTTAATTATTATTGGAATCAATTGATAGAAAATTATTATTATCAAAGCAATATCTAGAAAGATACTTATATAGATGACGCAAGTCGTGGATACTAGGATTTATGTCGACATTGTTCACATTGGGATTGAAACAACTTCATTTGTAGAAAGTGAAAATGCATATATTAAGTAAGCTTTTTAAAGCAGCAATACATCTCTTTGTGATCTTGCCAAGGTTTTTTTGGATCGTGTTGAATATAGAGCAAATGAGAAACAGTATGAAGATCTTATAAATTTTCCTTCAACTACAAACTATGTGACAATTTTTCCAACAATAGAAGTAGCCATTATACACTATCTGCATCCAAGGGTTGCACAAAATATAATCAACCAAATGAAAGAATGTGTTTACTACATGGCATGCTGTTCTAATATTGAAAAGATCGAAAATGCATTTAAAAATAAACTATCCAAAAGTGAAAGTCTTGAAGATGAGCCAGATAGTGTTCTTGCATGTGTACAGTTTCTTTTGTTCCAATTACATTACGATAATATTGCTGAAATTTGAAAAATTTCCAGAATTACTAGATGTATTGTGAATCAAGTAATTTTTTGTTTTGTAGATAGATCATATTATTGTACTTGTTTGTTGCAATAAAGATTAGGACTTGTGTGCTAGTACTACTTTTATCTCTTGAATATTACGGATACAGCACAGTTT